TTTATAAGGAAAGATAGATGTATTGTGTGGTTGAAAAATAAACTTAGTAATTCTTCTTGTTGATAGCATCAGTTAAATAATAAAGCGCAATTTATACTTCAAAAGAATAATAAGTCATTACGAAAATAATAAATTTATATTGTTTTACGCATCACTTATAGTCTTAAGTCTCTTCATTTTTATCGTTTTGTTCAGAGTTACAGTTTGAAAAATGAAAACATTATGAGACAGTAATGATCATAATAATAATAATAATAATAATAATAATTTTGATTATCACACTATTCGTAATGTCATTTCAACTTATCAATTCAAAGTAACATGATTTTAATTTTTATGTGAATTATTTCATGAAATATTTTAAATGATTGATTGAATATAAATGATAGTTTACTAGAAGACATTTTGTTTTTGCTCATTTTCTCTCTTCTATCTTACATGAATTCATTTAGTCTCTTTGGTTAAACCTGTTGACATGTTCTATAGATTAGAGTAAACAGTTTTTTCTCATAGATTCCATTAATAATGGATCACACTATCATAAGTCAAGAGTGTGATAGTAATTGATTACTAACACCGGATGTCAACAACATTCATATCATAACTGAGTTAAAGTTGATCAGTTTAAGTGATAAATTTCCGCACTAAATGAGTCGTTCAAGGTTTATTGGGAACTTGTTTCATTTCAACGCAGAATTAAGTTTTACTGTCTAAAAAATGATGATAAGCCTGAAGATATATATGTACATATATCTATATACATAGACCGCAAGAGAAAGAAAGCGAAACACAAAGCCAAACAGCAACAACAACAATCATTCATTAGTAAAAAAAATCATAAAAAATGGCGTATAATTCTTTTAAATTAGTCAATAAACCAGGCGATCTCTTTTTTTTTGTTCTTTGAATAAATTTTACTCTTGATTAGACGTAAAATAATAATTTTTTCTTTCTTTAATGAAAAAAAATAACAATGAAAAGAGGACGATAGATAAGTGAACAAACAGACAAACAAATAAACCTAAAATTACACCTGAACCTTGTAAATAAATAAGTGAAATTTAATCTGCTTTTATGTTGGTCTTAATTAAAGACAACCGAAACAGGAGGCGAATATTAAATATGTCGGCTCCTGTTATTAGATATCATAAATAATAAATATATACATATACAGATATATACAGATATATATATCAAAAGGAATAAATAGTACACGTGTTCATTGTATTATCTACTTTAGACTCTTTTTCTCTTTATGTCTCTTTTTGTGTGATACAAATATATATATATATATATATATATATATATATATATATTTATATATATTTATATATATATATATGTTTTTCTTAATTTTTATCTATTTCTAAATACGTAATTTATCATGACGACAATTTTTAAAAATGAGGTAGAAAAATTAGAAAAATATAGGAATTTGTTTTCATAGAATATGAACGAACATCTAGTAAAACAAACTATATCTGTATGCATAGTTCAATGAATATTGTACATAGTGAAGAGTAATTTATGCATAGATATATTATATGTGAGCATATTGTAATCTGTGTCAATAAATATTATTGAATAGTTGTTGCATGATAGAATTACTTCACTTTTAGCTAACAGGTTATGAATTCATTCTCTGTTTCACTGATTTCGGTTTTGGTAATCATGATAATAATAATGATATCTTGAACCTAACAGCAACAACAGGTTTCATCTTAGTCGTGATTATCAGGAAATGTTCACTGACAATGTCAAACAAGACTGAATTCAGAACTGTTTTCATTCTAATTGAATGATTGAAGTGAACTCATTCAAGAGATAATCATCATGTGTTTGTTTCATACTGGAGTTAAGAAAAGTTAGAAATAGTCAACTCTTCAGTGTGGCTTAATTCTTACTATAATCTAAACAATTGTTTTAATTGAGACAGCATTAAAATAATCAGATGAAAAAAATTTCAACTTTCAATCATCCACTACTTACAAATCAACAACCTTGAGTTAGTTTGAAAAATTGCTGAAACAAATTCTTTTCAGAAAATCAAATAAAGTGTTCTGTTGGATTTTTTAAAAAAAAAAGACCGATCAATTTCACATTCCTCATTTAAATTTGAAAATTGAATGAGGACAATTGTTTATTTCTGCACTGTCATGGTAATTTTTTTACTACACTGTTAATAATTAATTCTTGCTTCAGAAACTTCGACTATTACTATTTATAATAATGATAAGAATAATAATAATAACACTTTAGTATTGTTAATCGTTCATTTGAATAAACGCTACTATCATCCACCATCTCATGGAAGTTGACTGGTTTATTTTTAAAAAAAAAGAGAGAATTCGCAATTATTGTTAACCATGAATCGATGTAGTAGGCGAATTTGGATTGTAGGGATTAGTTACCCATTCTTCATCTTAGTTTGAATAAAGAAACTTCTTCACCTTGTTCTTCCGATTCATTTTTAATCTTATTGTTTGACCATAAATCTTGTCGGTTAAAATGCTAGTAGTTTCTTTGATTTTGTCTACATAGGTAGATTTTTATATGCATCCATATATCATCCTCGTCTTCTGTGAATTATCTATCTATATGCATATATATATATATATATATATATAACTTTGTTTTACTGTTCTAGCGTAAGTTCAATTTTTACGTTATTATTTGTTTGAAATAATTTTGGCATAAGCACACACTATTCATCAAAGATTCCCAATTTTTCCTTTTTTATTCAAATGATTATTTTTGATTTTGCCATATTATTATTATTATATTTTTTTGCTGTTTTGATTTAAATAAGAATCATGAATAAATATGTAAGCAAATATATAAAAGGAGAATTGTATCCACATGTGTTTTTTTTAAAGGTAGAGAGAGACAATAGTGAACACACAATACATACACATATAAATCTAAGTTGAAATACACAAAGATACATGAATTTATGACTCCATTTTATCCAAATACACTTTGTTAAATGAACTTTAAATATATATTTATATATAGTATACAAGCCTACACGGAATAGATAAACGCATAACTCATCCATGTGTATCATGCAAATATGTTCAGACACACAGACATACACATACGCACACACACACACGTATATTCATTATTTATTTATTTATTCATCCATTCATTCGTTCGTTCAGTCATCGATACATTTCTACATCATACAAATAGACATTAAAACGTCTATAACTATTTATGTGTATAGAAATGCACTTAAATGTGAAATATTTTACAATGACTGTTAATAGGATTATTATGATTATTATTATTATGATTGTTGTTCAACAAGAAACAAAAAATGAAATGGTTCCGGCTACACGGTCATTTGATGATTTATTTGATGGCGCATTAAGTGTGTGTGTGTGTTAGTATGTTAGTATAAGAGAGAGAAAAACTTCAAAGATTTGTTCCCGACAGGACAAAATGAATAACAACAAGTAACCGTAACAAGAATAAAACGAACAATTTTTTTTACACACACAAAAAATAGAAAAAATAAAAAATAATAAACGAAACGATATGAAACGAAAGGAATAATGCTTACTATAACAATTTGAAATAATGTAAAATTGTATCGGTAACTAACAGTTGACTTAAAATGTGGAGAATAGGTTGAAGATAAATTACGTGCATATTTACACAGCACAACACAGCACAGCACAGTACACAGCATACTGATACACACATAATATACAGATGTGAATTCAGTAAATTTATGTGTTGTTTTTCTCTCAATCATTATTCGTTTAAAAGAAGAAAAAAAACATAGTTTAATAAATAAAACGGAATTTTTACCATTATGAATAATTATAATGATGCCGTTAACATGACTGTACAATAAAACAAAAAAAGGAGTAGCCTTCATAGTGTAGTGTGTAGAGAGAGAGAGAGAAAAAAAATAGAGAGTAATTTTACAAAGAGAATTTCTTTTTTTTCCACAAAATTACCTCAAAGGTCATATTGCTATGGTTCATGTCTTGTATTTTGTTTTTCCCTCTCACCAATTATTATTATGATTACCATTATTCTCCTCTCTTTTCTCTTCTCTTAAAAGTACTTCTCTTCTATAAATGGTGTAATGATTAAACTTCAAAGAACTTTTTTTGTAAAACCGAAAAATTCGTTTGAAATGAATATGCGTAAATTTTACGTACACATAGGAATGTCCGACAAAGTTCAAAGCGATGATATATATATATATATATATATATATATATATATATATATATATATATACTAATGGTCGAACTCAAATCAATGACTGATGATTTATTGGATAGGCAATTGATTTCATGTCGATAATATTTCGTATTTTAGTCATATAAACATATACATTGTCGAAAAGTATTTTTCTGCTTTTTTTTTATCCCTGTTGCAAACTGTAAGTGTATGTGTGTGTGTGTGGCGTGGTGGGTAATCAGGATACATATACATTAATCAATCATTAGAATCGATAAAAACAAGACACACATGGAATCGAATTGGGAAAAAATGATGTTAGTAAAACAATTTTAAGCTGTGTTTTACATCATGAACTGATATCAATGGGATAAAATGATAACGTGAGATACTATTAAAAAATTAGTTTGTTCTAACTTGAGAGAATGTGTCATTATAACTATGTTAAGTATGAAATACACAAATTTCAAGTTTTATGACAATAAAAATTTCTATAATCCTAGATTAATCATTATGCATAAATTTTTCAGCAACTCATGTTCATACAAAATAATCAGTTTTAAATTGAACTTTGACTTTTTTTTGAAAATTGTATCCGATAATCATCGAATCGATCTTGAATACAATCGATTAAAATAATACAACTATTCAGATAAAATAAATTTTAAAAATTCATCAAAATGTTTAAATCAAGTTTTTTAATTTTGTAATCAAAAAAAAAATTATTGCACAATTTTTGATAGAATTTAGTTTATGTTAAATTTTATACGTGATTATTATTATTATGATTAACTTACCGAAATACACTGACAAGTCGTGTGTACAATTAGGATTGTTTATTGGACAACAAAGTGTATCGGATGTAGATGAACATTGTTTCACTACAATTTGATCTTTTCCACATGATTGACAAGGTATACATTTGACATTATCAATAGTTTGTGCAGACCAAAAACCAGCAGGACATGATTGACATTGTGTATCTGAATTCCAACTACAAGCTCTGAATGAAATAATAATAATCATAATAATAATAATAAAATCATTTAAATAAAGTAATTGCGAAAAAAAAATTAATTAATTGAATGAAAGAATTTGTTACAGTCTGTAAATTACACATTTTTGAAACCATGAATGGATCAATGTTAGACCACCATTAGAAACCTGGAAGCACTGAACGAACAAAATATGTAACTTACCAATCTTCACAACCCCGTAATGCAAACTACCTGTGCTCACTAGTGACTAGCTTCGTGAGGAATCTTCTCCGAGTTCTAGTGAGAAGACGTGATCAGTGAAGTTCAACCTGTTAGGGCGTAGACGGTAACTACCGAAGACTGTGTATGAGGTGGAGCAACTCTGTGAAACGATCAAGTTAGACATTAACACTGTTAGATACCGGCTCAGTGGTCCAGAGTTTAGGCGTTCGCGCCCTAGACCGAAGGTCCTGGGTTCGAATCCTGCGGGGTGCAGGAGTCGTGGATGCTCATCGCTGATGAGTCCCATAGCAGGACGAAACGGCCGTCCAGTGCTTCCAGGTTTCTAATGGTGGTCTAACATTGATCGATTCATGGTTTCAAAAATGTGTAACCCGTAATGTAAAGTCTATAAATTGTCTCAACACAAAATAATCCAACACTATTCACACTAAAACTTTCAAAATGATTTAGTTATTAAGTTTAATGAAATGATAAGGATAATTTCTGTTAGAAGGGATTTAATTTTTAAGGAGTTGTTTTACTAAACCATCATCATTGTTCTGCTAGACATCATCATCATCATCATCATCATCATCATCATCATCATCATCATCATCATCATCATCATCATCATCATCATCATCATCATCATCATCATCATCATCATCAGCATAAATTTAAGATTGAATTAAACGATAAGAATTCCTAACAAGTAGTTAACTGATTGCTTTGTCAGTATCAAATTTATGAATACTTGTTACATAATCGGCTATAGATTGATTTTACCTGCCTTCCTTCCTAACCTCATTCTTCGTCTCAAAGATGTTTGCAGTTTTTTTTAATTAACTTATCAATTAACTTTTCGTTTAATGTACCTATTGATTACCGATAGATGTGAATGCTTTGCTCATAAAATAATTCCCTAATGTTTTTGTTGAGATTCTTTTAGTTAAGAGGAAATTCTATTTGTAATTGGTGTTTTTTAACAGAAGCACATTGAAGGCGTCACAAATAAATCATTCAACTCTAAATACACAGCTACATCGAAAACTAAATTCATTTATAATTGAGACAAAGCGTTTGCTTAGACTGAAGGTCACTTTGCAATGCAATAATCATTTTTATTGTGTGCATTCCAAAATACAATCCAGTTCTGTGATTTATTCACTTATTTCAACTAATATATATATATATATATATATATATATATATATATATATATATATATATATATATATATATATATATATATATATATATATATATATATATATATATATATATATATATTTATATGGGCTATAAAAATGATTGAATTTAAGTGGACTGGGCCACTGCCTATACATCCGAACCGAAGTAGATGTTTTATTTTGAAAGGGTCACTCCTCGAGTCCTTAACCTTGAGGTGTGATCCGTGACGTTGTGGAGTAATGTTAGGATATGCTGTTTCATGTAAACCTGTGACCAACAATTGGTTCGGATGCCATTTTTTCCCTGGGTATCCTTAATCCTATGTATGCCAGCGATTTGAAATTAGGGCTTTCCAATTCCCCTAGGTAGATCCTCCTCACACATAAACCCAATGTGAGTTCCGGATATTGGTTTGTTGACCTGTAAATTTCTTAAACGACATCCTTGTCACTAGAACGACCCCCATTTCTATCACGCAAACAGTTTCAGTTTTATTCATAAAGTGATATGAAAGTTATTTTACAGTTAGCAGTAGAGAATCATTGATCATGTTCTGATAAAGGTTTTTGTTTATCAATATTCATTCTTTATGGAATAAGTCAAACTATTTATTGTGAAATGCATCTTAAAATCGTAATTGATTTATTTACTTCTCCAATATATGAGTTTCAAATCTACAAATCAGTTGACTATGGTAAATACTAACTGACTGATCAACTTTAGTTACTTGAGATATTATGAAATTAAATACTTCTTTGTAAATGAAGACAATCGTCGTTGCATTTAAACAAATACAAATTCACCAAATAAAAAGACTTCTGTTCTCTTCTTATCATTACTGACTCATCACTTCTTCATGAAATTGATCTACATGCGATTGAAATGGATTTGTTTGTTGTCAAATGATATTTCATTGATAAAGTTTATAAGGATATGATACTTGGAATACTACCAATAGATTCATTTTAGTATTTTATGAATTAATCTTTTGTCATGTACAACAATATATAGATAACTCTAGTGAAAAAAATCTTTCCAAAACTAATTAACTTCTGATCTATTATTCTTCTTACTGTTTTATTTTTCTATCACAATCTAACTAGAAAGTGAATGAGTTGAACCGGTTTATCATGAATCATTCATATAATTGTTTTGTTAATATCTTGGATATATATTCATTGCCATTTTCTTGATTCATTTTGTATAATTTTCAGCAATAAAAGTATTTCATTTTATGTCTATGGTAATTCATATGATTTCATTATATACAGATTCAAATGAAATGATAATGTTGCTTTGAAAAAAAAAACAACGAGCAAATATACAAACTACTTCAAAGCATCTTATTGATACTATTACAGCTGTTCATGAAACTGTTTATTTCTTTTAAACCATTTCGATTACGATTATCTACACATACATACATATGTGTACAATAAAAAGCCAAAAAAAAAATATTGAACTATGCTGCATACAGAAAAGATACGTAATCTTAGTAATGTTATTTTAGTTTGTTAAAGCCGAAAATGTATTTTGCGTCAAACAACACATTTCACATTTATTCACAAATTATTGTATTTGTAGGTAATAATAATGATAATAATAATATCGATAAGTAACAAAACACGTAAAACCTTTTTTTTTATCTTAAAAAATAAATTATTTGTGTAAAGATCAAAGAAATTTATAAATGTGTGTACGCATGTTTGGTTATATATAAATATATATATGCGGATAAAAAAGTATCAGACATAACATGAACGTTTTTGACTTTTGTGTGAATAAGTAACAGTGACTAACAAGGAATTTTTAATTTCTATGTGCCTAGTACAGATTTTCACTTTTAAACATTGACCCTAAGGTACGAACACAGGTTGGGAAGCTTTTTTCTTTAGAAAATTTATACTACTAAATAATAAATAAGTAGAATGTATATATTCAATTTAAACTTACTGTACTATTCCTTCACCAGGCTTACAAACGGTACATGGTTTGCAAGTTTGTTCTCTTTCTGACATATAGTAGGGTTTTTCACATTGGCATACCGTATCCGTTACAGGGGTGCACTCAGTACGTGTTTTTGCCAACGAATGAAGCTTAAAATAACATATACAAAAAAGCATAAGATATATAATTCATAGAATCTATTTTGATGGTGACATAGTTATTGCTATTTATGCATATATTCTTTGATTTTCGATACTATGCAGTGATCTTCAAGTACAAACATCTATAAACTGATTTGATATACTATGTACATGAACTGCAAGTAGTAGTTACCTAAGCTTGTATGAAATTAATAAGCTGTACAGAAATGAAGTAGCTTTAGCGTTTTCAAGGATCGCTCCCAAAAGCCTCCAGAAGCTACCAGGAAGCCGAAAAGTTTTCACTACACCACAGCTCGATGGAATTCTTAGAATGCGAATTTAACATAAATTAACTGGATGATAATATCAAATCCCTATTTGAAGACTGAATGGGTTTTTTTCACCCAAAACGAAAAACTACAACTATACGTAGATTCTCAATACATTTTAACACCTTGACGTAAAGCTTTCTTTCTCATACTGCATGTATTTTCTCTTCTGTTCAATTTTCAGTGTAAATTTAGTTTGGGTTTATTAGAAGTGGATTAGAAACCAGATCATTTGTTCACTTATCAGATTTCTCAATATTTTTTTTACTAATAATCGATTGAGAATCAAAAATGTTTGTAAAATAAACAAGACATCAATAAATGGATATTCACAGATTTTGTATATGTCGACTTACCTCTTCACAACGTCGACATTGTAAACACTTTTTTGTTGCACTTCTAATAGGAGAAAATTCAAATCCTGGTTTACATGGTCGACATTGTGTATCTTCTGTATTCGAACATAAACGTAACATACCAGTACCGGGTTCACATTTACGACAACAACGTGGTGTACCACGGACAGGGGATACAAATTCTTCAAATGGATCATTACAAGTTTCCTGAAATAAATAACATAAAAAAAATTTCAATTAAATTACCACTGTTATTGTTTAACCTGAAAATGTTTATATGTCATTTAGTAAAAATGTTTTAGGGAACAGAATATGATGACATTCGTAGATGAAAACTTATAACACCAACTAGTGTATTATCTACTAACCAGAATGAATAAACCTGAATCAGAAACAAATATTTTGATGTATTATAAACAGTTTATTTGATTAGGTTCAAAAATTTAAAATTGTTAATTGAGATGTATTATAAGTAAAATGAATTTTAGAAACTTAAATTTTTAATTTTAAGTAAAAAATTCAAATGAATGATGTTCTCTTTGACCTTGAGAACTTCTAAGTCCTATAATGTTGGGATCATAAGTGTACATTGTTGAATAGTTTCAAGCTAAGTAGTAATTCAAAACTTAATGTTATCGTGTGATATAAAACTAACTTTCATGTAAAAAATACTCGCAAATAGTGTGTCTTTTTGCAGACTCAACAGTACCAGTAAACTTTATTTTGAACTCTTGAAGTTAGGAATTTCATCAATTCTTCGTATTCAGTTAGAAATTTTAGGTTACATATGTGATAAGTTTGAAAATTAATTGTTTATTAAACTATATTGTTTGATATACACTTATGAATATAAAAATTTACTAGGACGATAAATAAAGTGTACACTCAATTTCGTAAAGTTCATTTTCTTTATCTTTAACAGCATTAAAAATGTTAAAATGTTAGACACTAAGATGCTAATTTGAAATTCATAATCTTAAGGCAGCCTTCTTAGTGTTATTTTTATCACTTGGTACATACTAAAGGTATAAAGGGTTTTCCTCTGGTGTATGGAGATTTTTAATTATTTGTTGCGAAAATTAATATAAATGAAGAAATCAACACTATTAATTTCCCAAATAAATTTTAAGACTAGTGCGTAAAAATAAGTTGTTTATATTTTGGCTACTTACAAAATATAAGTAGGCAAACAAATCAAACATAAAAAACAGCCTTATGGTCTGAAATAATAAATTCTAAGGAAATAATTAAGACTTCATAAACGTGAAATGAAGTGAATATATCCATGGACATACACTGATTAACATGGTCAAACGATTTAATACAAATAAATACTAATAGCTCTAGTTGAAAAATATTAATAAGTATATAATTTGCAGTCGGGGGAAAATAATTTATAATTTATTCTCAATTGTACACATAGATTCTATACATATTAGCATCCAGATTATGTGAGGTTTTTTCAGTTTAATTTTATTATGAAGCAAATCATAAAGGACAGTTACTTGAACAATACAGTCATTAAGTTACATATTCTAATATTCTAATTTGATTGAAATATTAGAATTACTTATATTAAGAGCCGTAAAATACTGTTAAGAATGATTCAAAACAATCATTTACTTATAAAATAGATAAATGGTTAATCAAAACAATCATTTATTAAAGTTAAACTATCAACATGATTCTTACTGCTATAAACGTGAAAATTTTATTAAGAGTAATTACTAAAGAAAAACCACTTGAACAAGATAATACAGTGTAAAGTAGTTTTGTAAGCGTAAAATGATCAAAAAACGATTTTTGTCGTTTTGTTGATCTCAATCGGAAACGTTTACACTTTTTCAAGCAATGAAAGTTAAAGATAACGCGATTGTATGAACCTGAACCTAATTTTTAATATGTTTTCAGAATATTATGATAAAGTCTACTGTAATTATTATATTTGATGTAACTAGTCGCTTATTCATATTAATTAACATTCACTTATTAGCTCCAATACATTGATTTGTTTATTACTATCTTTTCATTGTATACTATTAAGTCAATGAATCAATGATTTTCGAAATATTTCAAACTTGTTTACCATGTTTGTACAATTTTCGTTAGATACATTTTACATAGTTGTAAAAGAAACAATAGAAATTTCATAATCTATACACATTTAACTGTACGATTCAAATGTAATTGTTCATTTTTTTATAAAAATTTCTTTTAAACTATTATTACACATGCTATTAAATTATTGCATAAAAAAATTTATATTTTCATTATTCATTTAAAAGTACAAATTATTTTTCCCAATAACAATTAAACTAAACAAAATTGATTAATAATTTAAATATTCTATTCATTTTCTAATATTGATATAATATGCAAATTTTTTTGATAAAACGACTGTAGCAAAATTATCATTAAGCAAATTTTTTAAAAATTATTTATTACATTTAATTTTATTCGATCGAGAAAGAAAATTTTTATTTAGTATGTTGAATATGAAAACAAAATTGAATAGGCAATGAATGGATTAGACAATTGGAATTTCGGTTTTTTTAAATTTATTTCACTGTTCATTTGAGTCATAGGTTAAATTTTAGCTAATTTTAGTACTTACATTGCGAATAATAATAATAGTAATGACAATCTCATAAACTGTATACTAAAAAAAACTAAGTGTAACTATTGAGTTAATGTAGGTTGATTAATTTTAAAAATAAAAGGGTTTATGAAACAATTAGGTTGAGGAGGGGGGGGGGCGGAGTTGGGCAAAGGCATTGAACAGTTTGTCGGCAAATCTCTTTGATTAATTTTTCTCATTTTTAAAATAGTTCTCGCTGAAAATAAATTGTTGATTTTGATTATATATTAATCATGGATTTTATAACTAATACTAATAACTACCATTGTAGATGATTAGTATAGAATGATAGTATGAATAGTTTTTTTCTTTGATAAATACTCATTCAAATTTTTCTAGGGTTGACTTTCATCTAGATGAACTAGTGACTAGTGGATATATATATATATTTTTGAAATTGAAACAACATTTTACAGTAATCTATAATTTAATAGGAAACCCATGTCTGGAGTGACAAAATGATCGTAGAGTGTCTTGAGTGGTTTTTTTGCACTATATCGTCATCTGATCATATGTGCGAATGTGAACCTCTTGATTTTAATTTCGTTACATGAGATTGGAAGAACTTGGTGGATTCACGCGCTGGTAAAGTAGTAGTGAGAATCGCTACAGAGTTACATGTTAGGATGAAACAGATGTCTAGCGGTTTTTAGTAATGTTCTAACCAGAGAGATTAGCAAAGCCGATTGACGTTCCTGAAAGGAGTATTCTTTCAAGGTGAACAAACCCAGAGCATCGATGTGTTTATATGGGGAAGTGCGGGTATCGCAGCAGGAGCAAGTATATATAATATCTTAGTTGATATTAAGGAAAAGTTATTACTTAAAATAATCACAGATAGACAAATTAATAGAAGCAGTTGAAAGTATACTAATGATTAATTATTTAGACTAAATACGAGCTTCGTAAACTCAATGCAGGATATTTCTCAAAAAAACATGTCCAAATCTAATATTTCTTATTGGTAATGTTCAAATAGATAATCAGAAGGTTTTTGGTTTAACTGCCGTAACGTTTTGAGTTTTTTTTTTGATGAACTAATTTAGAAGAATAAACCACTTTTTTCCCATTTCAACCCTAAACAAGAATATTACTAATAATCACGCATGCATTTGTATAATATTATCAGTTTACGTATTATCAGGCACCGTCATTCACCGACATAACAGGTGTGTAGACTATCGATAAACAGTTTTTTTTAAATGAGACCAAATCAATATGTTGAATGTGGAACAATCCCTAAAGTGTATTTTACATATAATGAAAATAATAATGGAAACTTTTTTGATGAGATCATTCACATTAAATATGTATGTGATAAAATTAAGAATAATTTTATTTGGATACAACTTTTTCAGTGTATTTACAAAATGCATTTTTAGACGTTAAGATTAAAAAATACACTATATACTTAGTAATCATTTGATAATAATTAGGGTCTAAACTTTTGCGCTGATTAACTTATATTGATTAGATTGTCATCTGATCACTAGATCCGACGCTTTGTAAACTCTTATTAATCCTAATAACTGCATCACTACATATCATAATCGGTAAATTGTTTCTGTTTATTAATCTGTGCGCCAAAAATAATTCCATTCCATACAAAGAAAACAAATAAAGAATCGAATGAGCATGAATAAGAATTTTTCGTATAATATAAACTATTTCTGTGATATGCTCGTCAGCTGATATGCTTGAAACTATTACGAGTTTACCGTACTCGGTAAACGGAGTAAAGACAAAGGATGCAGTGACTTGATAGGCTATTCTTTTCTGTTTGTCCCCAGCCAGGCTAACTATATCGAGAAGTCTTGATAGGGCGTAGAAAGTGTATTCTACAAGCACCCAGAAAATTCGAGGTCAGCAAGCACAACAAACCTATTTATACATCATAGAAACGTCCTTGGGAGAGCCACAATAATAGACTACTAAAATAATCCATCAACCAATGACAGTCAAGAATTTTCCGAGTGAGAAATGTAAGCTGAAGGTCAATCAAGCAACTTATGCGCGGAAACATGAAAAACCCGAAATTATGACCTTATTCATCTGTCTATATGTAAATAAATAAAGATAATTCACTGAACTAGAAATCTAATGGAATATTTAAAGTTCTAAGCAATCAAAATGTATTCAATCGTATTAAATGATAAGCTCGTCTTATTATCTGAAATTTATTTCATTTTTCAGCTAACATGATTGAGCTCACTGTATCTAGTCAGATAAAATAAACTTCAGTCACATTATTACAATGATATAATTGAATGGACAACTAATAATTTTCAACCGCTATCATACATTTTTATTTTAGAATAAATAATTGAATACTATTATTAAATTGAATTTCTTTTTATTTTCATTTCTATTTTACCAAATCTCATATAATCAATATTCAAATGGCATCTGTATATAATTTGTTTTTTATAATTATACGAAACTATTAACAAAATACAGTGTATATAAAGAGGGCAGGAAAATTTCTTTTAGATCAAATTATATCATGTTCAATATAGTTTTTCTTTTAGAACACCTGTAAACAATTATCGTAAATTAAAGCCAGAATTAT